CAGCACCCAGCACGGGACAGAGGCCCACAAGCCAGCGCAGAGTCCTGGTGGGCCCGGGGCCCCTCCCAGCCCCTCCCAGGGGGACCGGAAATCTGCCCTTGGATTCTGCAGGGCGGCCCGTTTCCCCGCCACTTTCCAGGAGCCGAAGGGGGACCATGTGTGTTGCCCAAAAAGACAGGGCAGCAGGAGGTGGGTCTGCAGAGTGGCTGACGCGTGGGCGGGAGGGAGGGAGGGAGGGAGGGCTGGCGCTGAGGCTCCCTGCGCAGCCGGATGGAGCCACAGGTTGCAGGCAAGGAAGCGCTGGGTGGGGAGGCCTTACCCAGGGACACCAGGAGCCCACAGTTTTCCAGCATCACCTCCTGGTAGAGGGTCCTCTGGGCTGGGTCCAGCTGCCCCCACTCCTCCCGGGTAAAGGTCACGGCCACATCATCGAAGGTCACGGACACCTGGAAAGTCAAACAGAGGTAGCAGCGTTGGCCTTGGGGCTGCTGGGTGGGATCAGCACCTGACTGCATTGCTGGTGAAGGTACAGCGTGATCAAGGGCCGAATCACCAAGCGCCTCCCAGGGCTGAGCTCCGTGCTGGGCTCTCGGGGGAGATGGATGATGCTCTGGGCAGAACGCAAAGGTAGAGAGTCACACACAAGACAGTGGAAATGACGTGCAGTGTGAGGTGCAGTGAGGGCTCTAGGATGCCCAAGGAATAAGTAAATAATGGTGTGACTGTATCAGTAATGGTAACAACACAGCACCTGAGCCTTATCACTCTGCTAGTCGCCCGCCCTGTGCTGAGGGCTCCACATCCTGGTTAAAGCCACTAAAGGCGCCAGCTTAAGTCATCGTTTTCACCATTGTTCTCCTGGCTAAAAAAACTTCATTTGGACTTTGCCTTGCTAATGTTACTCTCACTACTATAGTTTACCTTCACCTCAATAATCAGATCTCCAGCAGATGTAGGACCACATGCCCATAATAACTGGACCCACTAAACACAAGAAACTCAGCCACCCCACACTCAGAGGAACAGCCTGAGTTCTGTGATTTAAATGCTCCAAGACACTGGCTCACGGCACCTCACCTGCACCTTCACTACTCACATCTCTGCGCTCTCTGGTTTCGCCTTATCAGTTTTCTTGGGTCAATGTTTCAATTAAACACTTGGCAACTGATTCATAAATAAGAACTCTGTGATATTACTCATTTCTGTTGCTGGATAGACTCACAATACTGGGCACATTTTGGGCAGAGAGAGGATAGAAATTCAACTAGGAGGACCTCAATACTGACTACTAGAGGTCATATATTTAAACAATGAAAACTCTCCGACATGCAATCACATGGCATCCGAAAGGGGCAGTCAGGGGTGCACGTACAGCTGACACTGGTTGGTCTTACGTTAGAGGTAGGAGAAAAATGACGGAAAGAGTCAATGAATTAATTAATCAAGTCTTGGACGTTTACCACCAACTGTTAGAAAAATATCATTGTTTTGCTTCCTGGGCTGTCACTAGATGGAGTAATCTGGCTTCCGGCAAGCGAGCAGGCCTCCGGGGTTGTTGTTTATGGTGGGTAAGGGGTTGGTCTCCTGCGCAGGCTGTGGGTCAGGGCTCCATCCTCTTATATGGTCTGCCTACACGATAAAGTGCCAAGCCAGCTGCACTTGTCGAAGACAAAACGCAACTGCAAAGGGCAACCCCGTGCCTTTGCTGCCCTCCAGCACGCCCGGGCGCCCTCTCCCCACCAGCAGCGCAGCAGCAATGCCCGAAACATCGTCCACTCACCTGCGCCGGGTCCATCCACGCCGCCGCCATCACGGGACCCTGCGGGGCGAGCGGCGCGGAGCGAGCGGCCCTGACCTCGGGCAACAGAAGCGGGTCCCGAGGGCTCGTCCGCCCGCCACCCCTTCGCTGTCCTGGGCGGGGTGACCACGGGTGCCTTTCGACCTCCCCGGTCGCGGGCAGGCTCACGACTCGTTCGAAGGCGCGGACCCGCTTGTGCTCGTTTTTCAAGAGCCTCACTGGAAACGGCCACAGCGCACCGATCCGATTCGCACAGCTGGCGTGGACGGAACCGGCGCACATGAGTGACGTACGCCGCCGGAGCCCGGAAGTCCCGCCCCCACACGCCAGCCGCGGGAAACGCCCCTGTTCTGGACTTTCACTAGCCCAGCGCCGAGGCGCACGGTGCACAGCCTTCTGGGTAATGTAGTTTTCCTCTACAGCCCACCAGCAAAAGCAGCGCATTCCCAAGTTGGTCTAACCCGGTGTAAGAGTTCCAGGCCCTGGTCCCCGCGTCTGGCCCGCTCTTCACAGTGGGCACAACCCGGGGGAACGACGAAGGAGCAAGACTGTCCTTTCTACGCCCGGGAAATTGGGGCGCAGGGGTTGCGGGCATTCCCCCGGCGTCAGGGCAAATGCAGGCCCTCGGCTGGGGTCATGACCTCCCCGTGCACCTTACCTCCTCTCTGGATCATCTCAGAGGGGATTCGGATAGATGAGCAGTTAGGTAACCACGGAAGGGAGGACTCGGGAAGTCTACCTCCAGCCCGTGCGCACGCTCAGACCGGACTCCCGGGACGCCTTTGGCGCAGCGCCGCTTCCACGTGGTGCAACAGCCGTGGAGTGAAGGAGTTGGGCCCCAAGAGTGCGTTTGCTTCTCTGGGGGTGCAAGTAAGAGTGGCTTGGAGGGAAGCTCAGGACTCCAGTTTTGGCGTCACCAGCTTGAAACATACGTAAGACCGCAAAGTGTATCACATACACTTCAACCTATGTCTGAACAGTGAGAGAGGGGTCATGCCTGGATACATAAATTCGGGAGTTGTTAGCGTCCTCTTGTTATTTCCAGTCCTGCTACTGGGTGAGACCATCAAGACAATGAGTGTAATTGGAAAAAGGAATGGACAGGGGTGAACTCTGAACCAACCCAATATTAGTTGCATACAGGAAACCAACAAACTAGTGCTTAGAATGCTAACATTCCTACCAGATTAGTATTGTGCAGTCTGTTGTGCCCAAATTGCAAATCCCAGAAGACCACCAAGGAGCCAACACCGATGAAAAAGCAAAGAGCCTTTATTCGAGCTAGCTCGAGCTCAATCTCATCGACACCAACGCAGTGGCAAGATGCCAGAGAACGAGAGCAAGGTTGAATACCACAAAGGTTTTATGGGGTTCTAGGGCAGTTGGTCGGGTGGTCGTGGCTCTGGCTGATTGGCTGGATCTAGGCGTAGTTGGTGGGGTGACAGGTCGTGGCTCTGGTCAATTGGCAGGGTCTAAGGGTGGTGGATGAGCTCTTTGCTGACTGGAGAGAAGAGAGACCAAGCTCCGATTGGGTGAAATAGGATCCAGGTCCCGATTGGCAGAGGTAGGATCCGGGTCCCAATTGGCTGAAATAGAATCTGGGAGCTTGCCCTTTCAGTCTTAGAAGTCACCAATAGTGACTTCTTTTCTTTCATGACTATGAAGGTGAGAGAATAAAACCCAGCTTCTGATGAGCTGAGAATACATAGTTACAAAACTGGAAACACGACGTGCAGAAAATGGCCTCAAACAATTTAAAGGTAGAGAAAAGCATAGTGACATGTTAATGGAGTCAAGGATTAAGGTGGAGTTAATTTTCTAGAACATGCTACTCACAAAAGGTTGTGGAGAAATGTGGCTCAGTACACAAGAACAATGTCATCCATCGTTGGCAATAAAAATTAGCCCGTATTAAGAGCCACAATTATCCTTTTCACATGTGATTGACTCTTGATTAAATTAAATGGTTTTGGGTTAAGATAAAACATTAAGTGGTTTGGGGTTAGGTAAAACATATTAAAGATTTTTATATTCTGTGTCATGGGAAGCAGAATGTCTGGAATCAGGGCAAGTGGGGAAAGCTCCATCGCTATTGGAGAAACTGTGAAGCATTATCAGACTTTTCATTACTTAAATACATATCATCTGGTTACCAACGTTCAGGCCTTTTGTATCCTTATCTCCCTGCCTAAAATGTGCCCAGTGCTGAGTCTATCCAGCACCATAAATGACATTGTAAGGGTTCATACTGACTTTTCATGTAACTTGATTTAAGAATGAAATAATTAACTTCCTAGGAACTTCCAGATGTTTAATTGAACTTTTAAAAAATTAGAAGAACGAAACTAGAGAGATGTGAGCACTGGAGGTGCAGGTGAGGTGCCATGAGCCAGGGTCTTGGAGCATTTAAATTAATATCTGCAAAACCGGGCCGTTCATCTGAGCAGGGTGGTTGAATTTCTTGTTTAATGAGTAGGTCCTTCCAGTCATTACAGGGATGTGGCCCTACATCTGCTGGACATCTGAGGAGAATGTGGAGACTATGGTCCTGGGAGTAACATTAGCAAGGCAAAGTCCAAATGAAGCTTTAGTCAGAAGACATAGTGAAAACGATGCCTGCAATGCACAGAAACTGTTTGAGTGCCCAGCTAAGAAGTCCAGGTGTTCCCTCTAATGCACTCAGCTTCTGGGTGAAGGGAGCAGCTGCCACACGAACCTGCCACAGGATAGAGGGTAGAAGAGCATGCTCTAAATTGCTGCAGGCAGAGGGTGTTATTTCATAAGAGGCAATGTTCTATTAGGGATAATTTCTTCTGATACAGGCAGAGTATGGCACACCGTGGAGGTGCTAATGGTTTGAGAATTGGGGGGCACTGATGTGCAGCGAAACCTTTTCTCTCAAAGACGGCAGCGTGTTGGATGTTAGTATAAAAGGAGTGGACCTCTGGGTGGATCAGAGTCCTGTTTTACAAACGGCAGACTCCTGAAAACATGGGGAACAGTAAACTGAGTCTAGGAACCACTGTGATAGGTGGTAGGTTAAACCCCACTGGTTATCTGTAGAAATTATTTCACTAGTTTCCAAGGAGAGTCACCATCCCTGGGGGCCATGAGGGGCATCATACTGGGCTTTCATGGGAAAGAGAGGTGTAGAAATTCTATCCCAATCACACACCAACTCACTCAACTATAAAGACCTGGTACAAAAAGATTCCACTTTTATTAATTAGCATCTCACATCTAAAAAGAAAAAAACCGAAATAGAAGAGCACAGCAAAGAGAGGTCCCTGACCAAACACCGAGGAACAGGACGGACAGCTCAGGAGGCCATCTGAGCAGATGGAGGCAGCACCCTCCGAGAGTGGGCCTGGACCCAGGGGTGGTCCAGGATCTGGGCTAACGGCAGCCGCTCGGAAGGCTGGTATCTGAGAAGCCTGGAGATCAAGTCCTGGGCTCCCGAAGGTATTGAGGGGGGAAACCTTACGTCTACCTGGTGAGGCCAAAGAATAAAGAGCAGTATGGTTAATTTCTTAGGTCTACGTTCTGTTTCATGAGTCCCTTGAAGACGTTGTTCTGGATCTTGGTAGGCAGACCTCTGTGTGCCTCAGGCTCCACAAGCCCACCAGCCACCACTGACTGACTGACTCCCCAGGAATGCCCAGTGTGGTCAGCCCACCTTGAGGATCCGTCTGTAGGTCTCACTGTGGGAGCTGCTCTCAAAGGGTGGATTTCCCACCAGCAGCTCATAGCAGAGCACCCCAATGCACCAGAGATCCACGTTCTCATTGTATGTTCTCCCTTCAATCATTTCTGGGGGCAAGTAGTCCAGAGTCCCACACATTGTCTTTCTCCTGGAGGGCAGAGAAGGGGGCACCATGCAGAGGCCCAGAACAGAGAGCAGAAGTCCTGAGCAGTCTCCTCCCAAGCACAGGAAGTTGGCAACACCAAGTTTTAATGAGGATCATGGTTCAAAGACAAGTACAACGCCTCATCAAATCTGTATTTTGGAATTATTCATAGTTATTTAGCTCAGGATCCAGGATGTTTTCACAAGAATATTCTAGTCTTCAATAAAGACTTGGAACTGATGATGCAAGAGGGGCCAAGTAAATTCATTATTTATTCATATAGTAAAATTCCTACAATTATGGAACAATGGTTCTTTATTTACACAGAAATTTTCTGATAAAGTTGCATGTTAACAGATCAAAAAAATAAAAGATTCGGTGAACCACATTCTTTCAATCTACAAATATGTACTAAATACATGCATTAGAAAACCCATATAAACCCAGGATTGTATCTGGTCTTACATAGGGAATGAGTTAAATTGGATCATTCCTAACTGGTCCCCAGGGCCCACCACCTGACCTACCTCAGAGAAGGGGTGTGCACAGACCAGCCAAAGTCTGCAATCTTCACCTCACCCCTGAACCCCAGCAGCAGGTTCTCTGGCTTAATATCCCTGTGAATCACCCTCTTCTTGTGGCAGTAGGTCAGCGCATCTGCCAACTCCTCCATTATCTGTGTAAGGGGGGAAAAAAAAGCAACCTGGAAAATTAAGCCTTCTGCAATTTCCTTGTTAGGTAAAATGCTCACCATGCAGTTTACAGTCGGAGTGCAATCTTCTTTTCCCAGTTATCTACCTCCATGACCTCCTAACAGCACCAGTTGTTGGTGGGGAAGGATTTCCTCTCCCTGTTTTACGGGTCTCATAGAATGGATGGTAACACGGACAGACCTTTCCTCTTGCCCTGGCATAGCAAGTAGCCAACACAGGACCTATGCTGAGTTGAGCTAATCAGGTATCTCCCACAGGACTTCAGGCTTGAGGAAATGGTAGAAAACAGAAAAATTGGCAGGTGGGTCCTTCAGAGAGCAGACTGGGCCAACCATTGCTGCTGGGCTACCCATCACCCCGGTTCCCCATTCAGGGCCCTCCAAAAACCTCGTTTCCTATTTTTAAGCCAGTTCCACTCATTTATTCATTAAATTCCCTCACAGCCTTTCAATGTTTCTTTGCATAAGGTAGTTGGGTTAGGTTCTGATGCTTGCAAAGAATCCAAATGGATCACAGTTTATTAATATGCTGGGGCAATTAGGTATCCAAGTGTGAATCTGTTCGGATGTATGGGTGTCATTATATAAAATTCAAAGAATTCCGAAATCAGCTTTAGAAAACAATAGGCCGGACACTAATGACAGCCGCAGGCAGGAACCCCCACCAGGCCACAGTGAACTCACGGGCCCCAGGGCCCTCAAGGCCTCCCACCTCACCGTGGCTGCTCGCTGCTCATCTAACGTGTGGCTCTTCTGCAGCTCCTTGTAGAGCTCGCCCCTTGGAGCATATTCCAGAATGAGGTACACCCGGCGTGCGTCATGGAAGTAGTTGTACAGGCAGAGGATATTGGGGTGCCTGGAGGTAATGGAGGGTCAGACTCCTAAGGCTATTTATTACAAGGGAATGGCCACAGCAAGGGCATATCGTGCTGGGACCAGAATAACGACAGCCCATCCGGAAGTGTGCGAGGGGCGAACAGACATCAGGATTCAGGAGGGAGGGACGCCAGAAGGGGGCTTTACATATGCAACTGGGGTGGATTGCAGAGAAACTTTAAGGCGGAAGCCAAGGGCCTATTTGGGACTAGCAGGGGGTTCGGGCCTGGGTCCAGAGGTCAGGGGTGTTAGAGGGCACAGGGCAGGAGGGAGGGGCCGGGGCCGGTCCTTACTGCAGGTGGGACTGGATTTCAATCTCCCTGCGCAGCTGGTGCTCCAGTCCTTCCTTCCCTATCTGGGACTTGAAGAGGACTTTCAGGGCCACAAGGAAACGGCTTTCCTTGAGCCGAGCCAGGTACACATTCCCAAACTTCCCCTTGCCCAGAGGGCGCCCGATTTCGAAGTCATCAATGGTGAGACGCCTCCTGGGAGGGGAGGAAGCACCTCGTTTTGGGGGGGCGGGTGGAGGGAGAGCCAGGGCCTCGGAATGCTCACCTCCGTCCTTACGGAGCCCCCGCCTTGCCCCTTTCCCTCTCCAACGACCCCGCCACGTGTCGGTCAAGCTCTGGGTCCCGCGAGCCAACGGCCCACAGGCGCAGCCGCTTCGCCCCCCGGTCCCACGTCCCGTCCCGGCCGGCCGCGAAGCCGAAGACTCACGCGATTGGAATGCTGGGCTGCGTCTGACCTGCCGCAGCTTCTGGAAAAGGGGAGACGGAGGCGAGGGGGGCCAACGCTGCCTTCGCTGCAGCGCCCCCCCCGCCAGCTGGCACCGGTGCGTCCTCAATCCGGCCTCTCTGGGGCTGGTTCTCATCCCCGCGACCTGCCGGCTGAACGGCGCCCGGCTTCATCACAGCCTGTGGGGGCCTCGGGAGCAGAACGGACGGTGGCGAGAACGCTTTCCCGAGCGCTTCTTTGACCGGGCGCCCAGCTGCGGGCGAGCCTGGACAGGGGTGGGGGCGGGGAGCACTCGGGCCGACGTCCTGCCGGCCCCCGCGGCCTCGGGCGGCGATCGGCACCCAAAGGGTGCCTCCGTAGAGACAAGGTCGGGGAACCCACCGCAGCAGCTGGGGCTCTGGCCGCTGGGGCCAGGCCTTTATACACCGCGCCCTGGCCCCATTGGCTGAGCTGGTAGTTCCCGACCGACTCCTATTGGGTGACACTGCTGGCCGTAGGCAGCGGGCCCAATACAAGAGACAGAAATGGGAGAACCGCCGCCGCTTAGCCAATGAGACGGCAGGGCGCGAAAGGAAGAAGGCGGGATGCTGGGCCTCGGTGGACGCGGCCGGTGGGGGCCCGGGAGGGGAGCGAAGGGCCCCCGGACGGCTGCAGAGAGCCTGCGCTGTAAATGGCCATAAAGAGGTGAATAGGTCAACGAGTGAGTGGGTGCATCCCTGAGCAAAGTGACGTGACGCACGTATTAATGAATATAAATCAACCGAAGGGAGCTGCTGGGTTATCCTTGTGAAGTTGGAAAACCCCAAAACCACACGCGCTCCCAGCTGACCCCCTGTGGATAAAGTGAAGGTTCCTGTGGCCAGGATTCTCGCCTGGCCCTGCTCGGCTAGCTCACTACACACGTGTGGGCAATGCATCGTTACTGACTCTAAAGAACTGCACCCAGTGCTCTGGACGACGCGGTGGCATGACTGCAAGGCTGCAGGAGAGCAGAGGCTGGAGTGGTGGCAGCGCCAAGGACAGAGACTGGGACAGCTGTGGGGCAGAGGGGCCCAGGGACAGAGACAGGCTTGCTGCACGCAGACTCGCTCTGAGTGGACGGGATTCTAGTGAATGACCTGCCACCGTGAGAATAAAGTCATCCCAAGAACATGTTACTGTCATTTCTTTGGTTACACTGAATCCCTAGCGAACCTGCCTGGGGCTGAACCCACTGGCAAGACAGCCAGCTTGAAGGTTGTCACAATTCAGGCCATTCCCCAGGGTCCTCTGCCATCACACACACATGAAGGTCGCTGCGGGGAAACTTTCTGCAGTGGGTGCTTCTGTCCCCGTGTCCTACTGCTCATGTCCTCCCCCAGGCCCCCCGCACACCCCTGGGAGCCTGCCCACCCCATATGGCCTGGCACAACGCACAGATTCACAGCTTGCTCTGTGTATTATGTGTTTGTTGGACCTGTTGCCCTTAAAAATAAGGTATTTTACCAGCAAAATGGGTTTATTCAAGTAGAGCAGAGACTTGCAATTTGGAGCAAAGAAGACAGAACAACAAACATAGGCAAGTCCCACAAATGTGAGAAACACACTCACTGGTCCAAATTCAGTAAGTGGACACGGAGACAAAGAGAACAGCGGGGCGGGGCTTTAATGACGGTATTGCAAGATCGGGTGTCTGGTGGGCAGGCACACCTGGGGAGTTCGGCGCCAGGAATTTACCTCCTAGTGCGCGAGTCCCTCCCCTGGTTCCTCATTGGCTGAGTACTACAGGGTTCACGTTCTTCCCCGGCCGTCGCCTAAGTCAGTTATATCTTTCCTTTACATTTGTCTTAATTTTATTGGTAGGTTTAAAAAACTCAAACAGGTATCGCCAGGCCCTTATCAATTCCCCCACCCCCACTCTCAGCCCCAGCAGCTTCCACCACCTGGCCCTTTGATAATACTTTACTGTTAAAATGTTTAAACATCCTAGTGGGAATAAATCACATTTAGGTTTTATACTCTTTCCTAACACAAAGGAGCGAAAGTTTGTTCTACGGAAAAGGAGGAGGAAGATGGAAGGGATTGTTCTGAAAAAAGGTCCACTGCAGAAAAAGCAAGAGGACAGAGAGGTGAGGGCCTCTCGTTGGCTGGGTTGCCGGGTGGTGATGTCTTGGACCCGCACTGGGCACCTTCCTGCTTGGGCCTGCGATTGACGACTGTTCTCTGTTGAGGCTTCTTTCAGGTTGAGTGATTGACAGTTCTTCCCGTCAGAGCTCCGCCCTCTCACCGCCCCACCCCATTTTAGCGAGGTTTCCCTTCATTAATTTTCACAGACCCAGTAATCAGTGTGTCGTTTGGGCCTCAAACAGTAAAATCAATGCACGTATATATTTGTTGGGCATATACATAAGTTTAGAAAAATTACTGAATACTTTTAGACAGGTAACAAGATAAATTGGGGAAATATAACTTAAAAGGAAAAAAAATCTCCCAACCCAGCTAACCTCTTCACAGAGATAGAAAAATAGAAGTTTGTTATTGAATAGGCCTTACACCAGAATGTGATGCACTTCACATACAACAGCTAAGAGGCTGCAAAGGCGGAAAGAAATCTCACCCTTTTCATGTAGCCAATCACATACAGCCCATTACATGTTTTCAAGATAAATAATAATTAACGCATAAGGAAGAAAACGTGACAGCACCATTTGTTACACATAACTCATGTTAAATTCCTCTGGTAATTGGGATTACTATCTACTCTCACACTGGGTTTTTAAGAAGGAAAACCAACTTCTCATTTCTTCCTGACATAAGCTACTGTTAACCTTAAAAAAGTTATTTCACTAGCAAAAATGGGTTAATTCAGGAATAGCAGAGAATTGCGGTGTGTGACATGCAGGCTATGGCAAAACCATAGGCAAATCCTGCAAAAGACAGGAAACACCTCTCCTGCTGGGGTCTGGCATCGACAATCTGTTCTGTGATTGACATTGCAGGGTCCGATGCAAGCTCCTCCTGATGCCCTTTTAAAGGAGGTTTTCCTCCATTAACTTTCACAATACTTTTGCAACTTGAAGCAAGGGGTCCAGGGAAGTCAGGCTCATACTCTCCATGGAAACTGGGAGACAGGAATGCTGTCTTCCTTGATGTCCCCATTTCAAAGAGATGGCTCCTAAGTCTTGGAGAAACATTCCTGGGTTGTGAGAATTTGGGGCGTTTGAGGAAAAGCAAGTCTACGGCAGCTGGCGCTGCACTGTAGGAGTTAGAGTGGCACAAGGTAAGTTAGAGACGAATGGGGATCAGTTGTGTGGTGTAGAACCTTGTTGGCCATTGTAAGGAGGTCATAATGTGTCCCCTGTGCCTTCTACAATATACCTGGGATTTGTTTAATCAGCTGTGGTAAGACATGCAGACCTGGAAGTGACTGTCAAGAAGGAAGAAGTTTGTGCTCACAGATGCCTAGCAAACAGGTGTCAGGACATGCCACACAGGGCCACGCGGGGAAGCACCAGCGTGGGTCAGGAAGAGAAGCAGCGAAGGAGAAGGCCCAGCCCAGCACCTTTGTTGTGTTTTCTGCGGGAAAGGAGAGGCCAGGCAGGCCAGTTTAGGATTGGCTGGTCTGAATAATGTTGTAGGGCTTTGGGGCATAGGAAGTGTCACTGGCCGGCTGGCATCTGGCCCTGGAATTTTAGGACAGAGGTATGCTGTCTTCTGGAGTGTGAAGAGCCAGAGGAGGTGGTTAGTTTACATGTGAAAAGCAGGATTCTGGGCAAGTTGCTTGCAATCTCTAAGAACTGGCTGGCCCTGGGATGGGTGGTGTGCGGGAGGCCCCAAATACCAGAGCAAGGATACAGAAGATAAAAAATATGTAGTTAGTATACTGTGACAGAGGCAGCCATGTGGGGCTTTGAGCTGAATGGTAATGGATCTGATTTGTGTTTTAAGTGGATCAATCTGGATGCTGTGTGGACGTTAGGACACAGAAGGGACAAGAGAGGAGGGAGGGATCTGGTAGGCTGCTCTCCAGCGGGGTGGGGGTGAAGGCTTAAAGCAATGTACTGCCAGGGAAGGTGGTTGGTCACAAAGTACAGGTAGCAGCTGACCAAGGAGGACAGCGAGTGATCAAGTTCATCCAAAAACACGGATACGCATGTAGCAGCTTCACAGGACGGATTGGTGGTTTCTTTGATCTACCCATGCCCCACGCAGCCTCCGCCAAATGTTAGGCATATTCCCGATGGTACTACGGTGTGTCTGTTACAGAAATGCTTTCGTTCCTGTAGGTGCTCAGGCAAATGTGACTTTTGCTGGAACAGAGCCTAGGCCCAGGGCCAGGAGGGTGGGCTGTGCAGGCAGGGGTTAGCGGACCAGGCTTCGGCTGCTCAAATACCGTGCACTCCAAAGGAAGGTGGGCCCCCGCCCACCTCCAGGAGGACCACCCCTGGGTCCTCGGACTGCCTTCCCCGTGAGGGTGCCTTTCATGCCTGAGGCCTTGGGTCCCACTGTACCACTCTGACCAGATAATTTATGCTAACAGTGTGACTTCTGGTGAACGTTCATGTGTGTGTGTCGGAGACCCTGGGCCACACTCTGTCGTATCCGGGGTCAGTCACATAGGTTCTCCGTGACTCAGTAAAAAAAAAAAATGTGGACACTGAAGCTTGGGTGAGCTTCCTCGTTGGTCACACATCTGTGCTGAGGTGTGTGACCCCGATGCTGAGTCCCCGCCTGACTGCACTGGGGGCAAACCCATGGAGGCTTGTCTGGCCCCTCCTGGACTTGACCTTACGTGCTTTTCCCTTTGGCGATCTCGGTCTGCATACTTTTGCTGTAATAAACTGTAGCTGTGGGTATAACAGCCTTTCTGAGCCTCGCGACGCTTTCTAGCAGACCACGGGGCCTCAAGGCGGTTTGCAGAGAGCAGGAATACATAAATTAATCTATTTGCTTATTAAATAGAAAGGTTATGATCCAAATGGGTGTTCTGGCCAGGGCCTCCCTGAGGCAATGCTCTCCGAGATGAGATGTGGGGGACAAGCACCCACCAACCGCGCGGAGTGGTGGGGGGGAGCCTTGTCCAGGCGCGGACGGAAAGGGAAACAGGAGGGGAAAGGAGAAGAGAGGTGAGATTTGTGCGGGGAGAGAGGTTGTGAATCAGGCCAGTCCCACAGCAGGGGAAGCCCCACGGATGGGCCATGTTAGGGATCCGTCTTTCATCCAAGAGCTAAGGGCCATCGTGAAACGCCTTGGGGAAGAGGGTGCGCTTTCAGGGGGCGGAGGGAAGCAGGCGCAGCATCTCATCTGAGCTGAACCTCTAGCTTCAGTGGAAACCGACCGGAGAGGCAAGCACGGGAAAGAGACCAGCCTCCACAGCTTCCCGGAGGGGTAAAGCCCGGAGTGGCCGTTTAGGTGATGGTGTCCACACCTGGGGCGCTGTTCCCCACGGGCGGGAGGGGATGACCGCCCGCCGCGGCCCGAGGCTGCAGCCCCGGCGCCTGGGAGCCCGGGCCGCGCGCCCCTCGCGCTCCCGACCGGGGGCCTCGGGCCGAGCCGCCGCCGCCCTCCAGGCGCCCATCCTGCCCACTGGCCCGTGGGTCCCCTCCGGGCCCGGGGGAGGGCGTTTCTTCCGCGGCTGCTGGGCGACCGTCGCAGCACCGCGGCAGCGCGCGGACTCGGACGTCACGGCCTCGGCGGGCCCGGCAGGCGCGCGGCCGGTGCACGCCTGTCGGAGGGCGCGGGTTCATGCCAACGGCGAGGAAGGGGATGGTGAGGACGCCCGTTACGGGGAGGCCAAGGGCGCGATGTGGGCAGGAGGTGGGGCACGGCGAGGGCGCTGCTCCCCTCAGAACGCTGGGGACAGTGTGGGGACCACGGGGATTGCCGCTCAGGAGCCTGGGGTGTCTAGCTGGGCTCGGTCATGGCCAGAAGCGTGGGGGCACGAGAAGGGCATCGGAACAATCTGCTTAAAATACCAACCTTGCGCGAAAGAGCTGGAATCTCACTGCCCCCAGCCACCCCGAAGCATGGTTTCTGCGTGCTCACCCGGACACCCCTCCTCGGCATTGCTCCCCAATGTGTCCGCGGCTCTGCTCCTGGTTCTACCCTAAGAGGTCCCCACTGGCTTGGTGCCCGACACCCCATTTTTGGGAAATGACATCAAAGTGGCTGATTTGCTTTGCTACATTCTTCATATTTATCACCCCATTAATGCTCTCAGCTGTGTTGTTTAAAACGCACGCTTTATTACTCTAGTATGAGGAGGCCCGCAGATGGGACGACTGCATTGAAGATGGTCACAGCTCCCGCCCAAGAGGGGGCGCGCCGGGCGCCCCAGGGCCACAAGGGGGCGCCCCAGGGAAGGCGTGAGCCAAGCCTGTACGGTCACTGGGCCTGAAGGAACGAGCAGGACGAGGCGAGCAGGCTGGGCAGGCTTCCGGTGAGCCGGGGTGGGCGATGTCAGCGGGCTGCGGACTGCGGGGCCTGCCCCCGGGGGCCTGGCACCTGGTACTGGGCTGGTCGGGGAAGGGTGTGTGTGCGTTCGACCCGGGACAGCTGGAGAGGAGAACGGGCTCCAGCCGGCTTTGCGTGGCTCCCTTGCTGTCTGCAGGAATCGGCTAGCCCGGGAGGGGCAGTCTCTGCAGGATCAAGGTCCCCGCAGTGAAAACTTCAGAATAAAAACACCTGCTTAACACAGGGATATAAAAAATACAGGCAGACAGGTAGGCGTTTTCAAAAAGCCACCCAGCAGGAAAGAGCAGGACCAGGAAGTCCTCCCGCAGGGCCCACTTTACTCCTGACTGTGCTCTGAGCAGGAAACACCTTCCCCTGCACGATTCAGCTTAGCTCGCTCAACTGTGAGCTGTGTTTACACACCTGTGGGCAAACAGATTACACATCTTTAACCCTTGAAGTTTAAGGACATCATCGACCATTTCAGACCCCACACCTGCGAGGGAAGCCGTCTTTGGGCCGAGTGTGCGCGCAGAGCGGAGCTGCACGGGCCCCGAGAGGCCTGGCTCCCGAAGGAAGGTCTCCAGCATCAGGTCTATGCGAAGGGCTCCCGGCTGGGGCCACGTGCCTGCACTTCCCAGGGTAACACACACAGATCGGTGACTGTAACTCAGCTCAAACAATGTATGTCTCGATCTTAGGCGCGCTGGGTGACACACACTCTTTAGTTCTCTCTATCGAAGCCGTAAGTTAGAGTATCGACAGACAGGAACAAAGATTAAAAACTGGGGACATATGTGCTACAGAAACACACAGCCTTGATCTGGCCAGTACACGTGTTATAAAGGTAAACAATGGGTAGGTGTATTTGCAAGTCAAACCACTTGAAGCCATATAGCTCATATATATATGTGTACATAGATATTCATAAATGGTAAATGTATACATACACTTTTATATACACATATATGGGCCCTAAGTGGTGTGCACCGTCAGCACCACAAAGAGGCGCAGTCCTTCACGACCCCTCTGCGCCTTGTCGTCACTAAACCCTGGTTAGCTTCTAAGTTCTACCTGATGTTGATTTTTCTGAGGTTACAATGGTTACACTTCACCTCAAAGTTCTAACTCGTTGTTATAGAAGTTTGAATTAATCAGCATTTTAGTACCATTTAAGTCCCTCTGAAAAAATAACACAGCAGACCTGAGACTGCTATACTCTTTTGAGTTTGCAAGCTTTGCCCCTGGCCAGGGTTGGGACCTTAGATATTTGGCAGGTTTCCCTCCATTCCCAGCAATGCGTGGCTAGCGTGACCAAGTCTTCTGTGCAAATATGGCTTATGCTGCACACCTATCCTTCTGAAGCCTTGAATTTGCTGTGCTAGCAAGAGAGCACCCCCCACTCAAGACCCTCAGCACTGAATCTCCGGGGGACCTCCTTGGGTGACTTCTCAACTGTGGTGACCCCACGGAGCTTACACTAAGCGTGTCCTTGGCGGCCTCCCTGAGGGCGGGCTCTGGAAGCCCAGCCCTGGTTCCCTCTGGACTTGTCTTTGCGCCCCGTTCGCTTTGTATCCTTCAGCTGTAACAACTCCTGGCCGTCGGGCAGGACATCAGGCTGAGTCCCAGGACTCCCAGAGAAGGTAACTGAAACGGGCAGATTTGGTGATGCCTGACATAAACATTCCTTATGGGTTCTAACATCTTACTGGTCTGGCCACAGAAGCCGGTAGGTTCCCATTAAGGTCAACATATGCTATACAATGTGCTCACGATCTACACAGCTTTGTGGAAACACTTTCAAGGGACCTAAGCATTATCATAAATACATCCTGCTGTGTGTGGCCACTCACCAGAACACACATTATCTATGAAATAGACAGAGGCTGGATGTAGGGAAGATAATGGCTGCAAGTTGTGTGACCTGAACAAGGCAGAAGACAGTGGGATTCACTGGGATTTCAGGCACTTCAAATGGTACACTGACAGCCAAACATATGCCTGCACCCTGACCGACCTCCCTGCCACCTCAAGCCATCGTCTGTTTTCTAGTCACAACAGATTACACAGCCATTAAAAAATGAGCTTTTTACCTCACCCAACCTAAAGGGGTGGTCAAGATGTATCGTCAAATAAGGAAATTTACAAACCACCATGGTTTGGTTTATTTTGAAGCAGTGCACAGAAAGCCACAGAGACGCAACATAGGAAAGTAAGTGGTCAGGAAAACGGAGCCATTCCACCTGACCCCCAATTCCCAAACTCCCACTTCCTCATCAATTGGAAAAACATGGACAAATTCCTTAAACTTTATGTACCTTAGTTTTCTGATCTATAAAACAGGGATAACATTACCTACCACACAGACTTACTGCAAAGATTAAGAGGTATGTTAAACGTTCAAACAAGAGCTGAAAATACTGTTCTGATGATTGCGGTTCCTCTCCATGGCCGCAGCCCCGCGACACATGCGTATAGGCCCGGTGTGTATGATCCAGACGTGTGGAAGGGTGACCAGTGGTGACGTGCAGCCTGCAGACAAGGACTTGGAATGATGTACCTGACCTCAGAACGCCTCAAGGGGGAATTCACTCACCCATGGAACACATCACAAGTAGCAATGGCCATGGATGGACCCTGGGAAGCACAAGTTTGTAGATGGATGAAAGGAAACACAGATCCTTTGGAGAAAGGGCAGAACTCACAGGAACCGGGCAAGGCCAAGCCAGAGGGGCGGCAGCAAGAAGGAGGCCCAGGAACAGCTGAGAGGGATGGGGGGGGACCGGAAGGGAATTTGACAGACCGACTGAGTCCCTTGACAATGGCATAGGCTGTCCGCTGGTTGTCAGTGCACTGAAAGGGATGAGAAGGGGTGGGGACGGTGGACAGGACAGTATATAGTGTGACTGAGAGAAGGGAAAAGGGCAGAGGCTCAAGGGGCATGTGAGGCATCAAGTGCCAGGGGGCGAGGCTAAAGACCTGAACACAGGCATCGAGTATGATAGGAGGGGATCAAGAGGGAGAAGTTAAAGACCAAGCAGTGAAAGAATAAAAAAGCTGGAAGCCCTGGACAAGCTGGGGAGGGGTAATGTGTCCAACCACAAAGAGGAAGACTGTTCCTCCAAGAGGTGGTGTCTCCAAGAGGTGTCCCCTACGATGGTGTCTTGCTGCACACACACACACACAGCAGTAATAGTAGTGTGACTGTTCAGGTTCCTGGACTCGATTCCGATGTATGTGTGTGTGTGTGTGTGGGGGGGTCTTCTCACGTGACGCAACACCAGGCAACTCTCCAACACCAGCAGGGGGTCTGAGAACTCAACCCAATTCTGATGCCATCTGCCCAGAGACAGCACCAGATTTGACGACGGGCTCCGTCCTACAGCGCGGGCCCTCCACCCTCAACTCCAGATGCTGGCCACAAGCCCCAGGCAGTTAACCTGCGCTTCTGACAGACTGGAGGTTCCGACAACCTCCCCCTTGGGTTCGATTAATTTGCTAGAGTGGCTCACAGAACTCAGGAAAATACATTTACCAGTTTAATGAAGGATACAAGTTAACAGCCAGCTGAACAGATGCATAGGGCAAGGTCCCAAATAAGAGTTTCTATCCTGGTGGAGCTTGGGGCCTGGCTCGGTGGCACCTGAAGGTGTTCTGGCTCCCCAAGCAGAGAACCAGATTTCTCATGGTCATGAGACCCTTAGGAGGTGTCAAAATTCCCTTTTGGTAAGCTCTTCTCAAGGGGTTTTCTGAGGTCTTCACTGCATAGTCACGATTGACTAAATCACTGGCCACTGGCTGATCCAGCCTCCAGCCCTGCCCCTGGGTGGGGGTCCAAGAGTTTTTCATTAACTTGACAAGACGCCCGTTTCACCTCTAAGACCCTGCGGTGTTTTCAAGAGCTGTGCATGAAGACCAGACATACCTGGGAAATATGTAGTTGGTCATCTGAAAATATTGTTTTGGTTCTCCAAATATGTATTTCTTATGACTCACTACATCACACCCCGTCCCCGCTGGGACTTGTAACAAGGCTTAAAGAACAGAAAATTTACACACCCATCTTCCCAAGAGAACACAATTCTGAACAATCTGCGGATGACCCTCAGCTGTAAGAGCTGTTCTTAGAAATGTGTGTGGATAACAGGCCTTCCATTCCTCCACGTAATTCAGATTTTCACTCCAACATCAGGCTAAACCACCGGAGAACCGTGAATCTGGACTGCAGTTTTGCCTGTTTCCTCAGAGTCCCTTCTTTGGCATCACAAACTAGGCAAGGAAGCAGAAGATGTGAAAAAGTAACATGTACATTAAATAACCAAAAAAATAACTCACTGGACAAGCTCAACAGCATATTAGATATGGGAGACAAAAGAATCCGTGAGCTCAAAGAAAGATCAGTGGAAATCAATCTGAGCAACGGCGAAAACAGACTGGGAAAAAGAAGAAAGCAGGAAGGAGCTGCGCCTAGAACGACACGCTCAAGTCCCCGGAAGAAAGGAAAGAGGGCTGAAAGCTATTTGGAGACAGACTTATGGAACACTCGCCAAATTTGGCAAAGGCCATACACGTAGATACAAAAAGCTGGACAAATATCAAACAGTATAAACCCCCAAAATCCCATGCCATAACATCATAATCAAACCTCTGAATACTCTAGACAAAGAAAAAAACTTTGAAAGCCCTTGATAGAAAGGATGCACTACAGAGAGGGAAACAATGGGCTGAAAGGCAGCAGGTTTCCCGCCTGAAACCACTCAAGACAGGAGGTAACCGGTTTTGTTGTACTGAAAGAACTGTGGACCCCCAATCTTACATCCCACACAAATACTTTTGGGAAGAGAAGGGGACATTTTTAGATGAAGGAAAACAAAAATATCTGTCAACAGTAGACCTATCTTAGAAGAAAGGCTACATGTAATCTGCCAAACAGAAGGGAAAGGTTACTAGGAGAAACTACAATGGAATGGGAAAAAGTAGAGGCAAACAGACTTATGCTTTTTATGAATTTTGTAAAAAATGGTTGACAGCTGAGGCAAAAATTACAACCACATCCAATATAGTGCTCAGTGTATGAAGAGAAAATACTTGGAACAACTATATTAAGAATGGAGAATATAAAGAATAATGCAAGTAAGGTTTATATACATCAAAGTGCTAAAATGCTGATAATGTTAGACTGTGTTATGTATACGCAATGCCTTGAGTAAAAAAAATTAAGACATACTTAACAAAGGTATCAAATGGAACTCTAATAAAAAATGCTGAAGTAACCCAAGACAGACCCCTCCCTGGAAAGCCCCCACCAAAACAACAAAACCACCAGAAAACAAGAGGAACTATATCAAGAGAACACAAACAAAAAAACAAATCATAAAGTGGTATGCTTAAGGCTCTAACACATCAATTATTTTATATTTAAATGACCTAAATAAATCTACCAATTTTAAAAAGTGGCAGAATGGAGGAGAGAGTATAAGCCAACTAACTATAGGTTGTTACAAGAAACTTCAAATGTAATATTACAGATAAGGTTGAAAATAAAGTTATTTATGGAAAAATTAAATATATAAACAAAATGCAGTAGTGACTACATTAATATCAAAGTATGCTTTAAAGGTAACAAGAGGAAGTGATAAAAAGACATGTAACTATCAAAGGGTCAATACACCAAGACGACGTAGTAGTACTAAATGTATATGCCCCAAACAGGTTTGAAATCCTTGAAGCAGAAACTGACAGAACTTAGAGGGATGGACAATTCCACAGTTACACTTCAGGACTTCAGCACCCCTCTCCGTAACTGACAAAAATACTAGACAGAAGGTCAGCAAGAATACAGAAGATCTGAATAAAACCAATACTTAGGAAACTCAACAATGTACTTCTAAATAATCCATGGGTTACAGAGGAAGTCTCTAAAGGAATGAAGAAATACTTAGAACTCAGTGAATTAAAACTTGTAATTAAAACTTGCAAAATGAAGCTAGAACAATGAGGCGAGGGAACTTTGTAGTACTTTAGTGTTTACATTAGAAAAGAAAAAAAATTCAACAATCACCTCGAAAAACTGAAGAAAAATACAACCAAAGTAGAAGACATAACAAAGATCCTAAGAAAAAACCAGTGAAATTAAGAACACAAATAGAAATCAATGAAATAAAGTGCCGATTCTTCAAATTGATCAATGAACCTAATGAATGTCTAAGAACACTGACAAAGATAAAAATAGTTGACCTACTTCCAAAACCAGGAATAAAATGGGATGTAAGTACAGATCCTGCTGAAATTAAAAATAACAGAATACTTCAAACAATTCTGCAAGTTGGAAAATTTAGATGAAATGGAACAATTCCTTGAGGAACTATCCAATTTGTCCAATATGAAACAGATACCCTGAATAGCTCCATACTTACACCAAGTGATTTAAAAGAATCCAAAAGTCTCAAGGTCCAATTGGTAATGGAGAATGCTATCAAACATTGAAATAACAAAAACAATTACACAGACTTCCTAAAGAACAGGGAACAATACCTCCCAACTCAACTCGGGAGGCCACTATTACCTTGACACCAAAGCCAGACAGTGACAGTGGTCAAAAAGAAACACAAAAAAAGTGAGAACTACACACCAATCAAGAAATTAGAGGAAAAATTCAAGGAAATACAACCAAACAGAAGGATTTAATATTTGATATATGAAACAACTGACACTCCACAGCCAAGTAGGTTTATTCCAAAGATGCAAAGCTGGTTCAATATTCAAAACTGAATACAATACATCATATAAACAGGCTTTAGAAGAAAAAGCAAATGATCATATCAGCTGATGGAGGGTATTTGACAAAAGCCAACACTCATTCATAACAAAAAAATCACAGCCAATTAAGAACAGAAACTTTCTAAACTTGTTAAAGAACTTTGGGAAAAACTTAACATTGTACTTGACAAAAACTGAACATTTCCCCCATAATACAAGGAATCAGCCAAGTATATCCTTCACTACTATTGGAAGCCCTAGATAGTGCAGTAAGAAAAGGAAATAACAGATCCAGAGAAGGGAAGAAAGAAATAAAACTATTTGCAGCTGACATATCTATGAACAAAATCCCAAGGGCTCTATCCAAAGAAATGGCTAGAAATAAGTGGGTTCAGCAAGATTGCAGTATACCAAAATACCATCCAAAAAACAGTGATCTTTCTGTATACTACTAAAGATCACGTGGAAAATTAAAGTTTGGAAGTCAACATCATGTATGATGACTAAAAAAAAAAAAAAAAAAGACCACCCAACCTAGATACAATCTTAAAGAATGTTACCAAAACTGTATGCTGAGTTATGAAATGGTAATAAAATTATCAAGAATTACTTAAAGCATACCATGTACTGTGTTCATGATGCTGCTAACTCAACTGATCTACAAATGTAAATCAATTTTTATAAAAATGTGAGCAAGATCCTTTGCATCCTAAGACTTATATGGAAAAACAAAAGGAACTAGTAAAGCAAAACAATATAAATAATAAAGAGAGAGGAATCACTTTATCCAATTTTAAGATTTACTGTATAGCTACTGAAGTAAACAACAGATTGGATCAAGAGTGTCTGAGTGATGCTTAAAACCATCAAAGAACAGTTGTTTTTTTGAGAGCCTTAAGCAGTTTTAACTGGTGCAGTAACATGTGCCCATTCATATGGGGATCTAATTTCCTTAAAATACCTGCCCTAAGTCTCCTGACACGGCAAACCAATGAATGTATACACAAGACACATAAAGGGTCAGGACCCTGGCCTCTGAGACATTATCTGCCAGTCTCAAGTAAACCAAGGAGTCCATGACAAAGTGCAATAAACTAGACAGAGAAGTCTCAAAGAAACTGTTTTGTTTGTTTTCTAAGTTTCCACCTCTTTTTACAAAAATTCCTGAGATAACACTGCTGTGTAAACTAAGGAGAAAAATGCAGCTAAAGGTTTCACTTAGTGCACAATGAACAGTGGCCTCTCCCTCCTGGATTAATTCCCAGATGTAGAATAAGGCTCTAGGTTGAGACAATCTCTACGATGTGACTACTGATGATCTGTGATAGGTTTTCTCAGTGTGAAGATACCTGTGGAGTTTCTCTTTGGTATGTACGATCAGATGCTGTGGCTGATGTTTTCTCTGGCAAAAGCTTTCCTTCAGTGTTTACATTCAAAAAGTCTTTCCCCAAAAGGAGTTCTCGGAGCGTGACTGAGGACTGCCCGCTTGTGAAGGGTCTTCCCACATCTGTTACACTGACAGGGTTTCTCCCAGTATGAACCCTTCGATGCTGCGTGAGGGATGAGGTGCGACTGAAGGCCTTTCCACACTCATTACACTTAAAGGGCTTCTCTCCAGTGTGGATAATGGCATGGCGAATGAGGTTTGTGCTCCAGCAGAAGGATTTCCCACACTCCATGCATTCATAGGGCTTCTCTCCACTGTGAGTCCGCTGGTGCCTCGTGAGGCCTGACCTGCGGTTGAAGGCTTTCCCACACTCCCTGCACTCAAAGGGCTTCTCCCCAGTGTGGATACTGAAGTGTCGAATGAGGTCTTTCCTAGTGCTAAAGGCTTTCCCACATTCTTTGCACTCAAAAGGTTTTTCTCCAGTGTGGGTCCTTTTGTGCAAGATAAAAGTAGAGCAGTGGGTGAAGGCCCTGCCACATTCATTGCACACAAAAGGCTTCTCCCCAGTGTGAATGCGCTGGTGCCTCTTGAGGTATGACCGCTGGTTGAAGGCCTTCCCACACTCGAGGCACTCAAAGGGCTTCTCCCCAGTGTGAATGACATAGTGGTGAATGAGGGCTGCACTCTCACAGAAAGCTTTCCCACACTCACTGCACTCATAGGGCTTCTTCACAGTGTGACTCTGCTGGTGCCACATGAGGTATGACCTGTGTTTGAAGACCTTGCCACACTCAAAGCATTCATAGGGATTCTCGCCACTGTGGATGATGTGGTGTCGAAGGAATCCAGGCCTATGGCGAAAGACCTGCCCACATTCTTTGCAGACAAAGGATTTTTCTCCAGTGTGTCTCCTTTTATGTAAGACAAAATTGGAGCGGTGGGTGAAGGCCTTTCCACATTCACTGCACTTGTAAGGCTTCTCACCACTGTGAATCCGCTGGTGTTGTGTAAGGTATGACTTGCGGTTGAAGGCCTTCCCACACTCCATGCACTCATAGGGCCTCTCCCCTGTGTGGATCATGTGGTGCTGGAGGAGGTGTGTGCTCTTAATAAATGTTTTCCCACACTCTCTGCATTCGTAGGGCTTCACTCCAGAGTGAATCTTTTCATGTCCAGCAAGAAGGTGTTTCTTGTTAAAAACTTTCCCACACTCGTTGCATTTAAAGGTATTTTCCTCTTCCTGCATCACGGGATCTTTACCCGATCCACAGGAGTCACTGTCATGGACAGCATGTCCTCGGGGCACTGGCTCTGGGACATTCCCTGAAGACACACCATCTGCTGCCCCTGAGCCACCATGTTTGGGGCTTGTTTTCTGAGGGAGTCTCTCCCTTTGGGGCTCTGACCTTGGTCTCAAGTGTCCTTCTTGCATTCCCAGTGGCCCACCCTGATCCCTGGTCTGGCTCAGCCAGGAGTCCCTGGGGGCTTCTTGTGTTAGCTGGAGTGAGGCTCCTTCAGACAGGGCTGGCTCACAAGTGGTAGATTCTGTGGTCTTGGATTTTCCTTTGTCACCTGGATGAAATCCAACACACAACAAGGCCCGTTAGTAATGCCAACATGGAAGAAACAAAATCAGCATTTCTGTGGGGAAAAAAAGAATGAAGATGATAATAATGTTTCTGAATCTGCTATGTTTTGCTACTTCTGAATCCCAAGGTTACAGTAGCTTTCTTTTCATGGGGCTTGGCCGTCTGATACCTGGAGAGGGAGACCCTGAGGACAACCCTGGTGAGGGGACAGAGGGGACAGAGTACAGACATCACCACAAGGCCACAATGGCCGTGGCTGGACAGGGTAATGATGTTGCTGTGTTTTCAGTTTCCTGGAAGGATGTCCATGTTGCTACAATAACACTAGTAAAGGTGCCCAGTGCGGCCCTGACGGAAGACAGGACGTGGGTGACGCACAACCAACTTTCTCCAAAGAGAAGTCTGGGTAACCTCAAAACCCTGGGTATTTCCAGAGTGACAGGCATGTCTTAATTACCCAGGGTGGGCGAGCCCCAAGGAACATACCTGACAGTTTACGACAACAGTAACTCATCAGGGGCTCCTAGATAGTGTATGTTAAACAGATGACTCGGGTTAAGGTCTGGCCACATCAGAAAGACCAACCTTACAAAGTTGGAGCTTTGAGTCATGAGCTAACCAGGTGGCCCTCTGGAAAGTGAAGGAGAATGTGCCCTAAGTGAAATGTTTCGATCAGTCATGCTAATATAACAAAGGCCCAATAGAACTCTAGATGCCAGGGCTCTGGTGTGATCCCTGGGTTGGAAACGCACCATGCACACACTGCCACACGCTGACACTGGGAGATGACAAGTCACTAACGACACTGAGGCTTAGTGTTTGCACACTTCCACCCCCTCTTCTAATTTGTATCCTTTGTTAACAAACATGACTGTGAGTATAGTGAGTTTTATGGAGTTTGTTGAGTCTTTCCAGCAAATCACTGAACCTGAGGGTAGTTTTGGAAAATCCTTCGACTTGTAGTTGGTGTCATATAACCTGGACACTCCTGACTATTGTGGAGTTCTGCCCTGCTGACCTGGAGTTCGACTAACTGTGTGCAGGAAGAGATCCCAGGAGTCTTCCAGGAGGAGGTGCCCCGTGATGTGTGCCTTTTAGTGCCCAAAGAGTTGCCACAAAGAGAAAGTGTGAAGGGCACGAGCTCCAGGAGACAGAACGTACAAAGGCACTGCGGAGCGTGAGAGCAGAGTGCTGATGAGAATCCAGAGCAGGTGGAGAAAGAAGAGGAGCAGGTTTCCAAGGTTCTGATTGGGGGACAGGAAGAACCCCCAGAACCAGGCTCACAACGCAAGCGGTGAGGACTGGACTGAGTACACTGAATCAGATATGCCGAAGCGACAGCTTTGTGAAAAGACTAGCAAAACGTACATTATTTAGATGGAGAAATTGGTACTTTACTTGAAGACATTAGAAAAGAGCTACATCCAAGAGGAATTTGATGTGGGGGGAGAGGGAGTTGGTAGTTGGAAGGTACAAACCTCCAGGTGTAAGGTGAGCATGCAGAGGGGTGTGATGTGGGACAGGAGGCCTGTGGCTAACACTGCTGGCTGGGGTACAGGAAAGCTGGGAGAGCAAGTGAGAAAAGTTCTCACCACACAGAGGGTTTCCCCCCTTTTTCTTTACTATTTATTGTCTGTGTGAGAAGATGGATGCTAGCCAAGCCCACCTGGCGATCATTCCACAGCACATGGAAAGGAAACATGCTGTGCGCCTTAACCTCATACAGGCTTTCGCCGCTTCTCTAAAGTTCACGCTACACCGCTCACTTTTATGAAATACCTGCTTTAGTATCTGGTCTCCTAACTGAAAGCAAGTCAGAGAGGATTTTCGCTTTCATGAAAAAAGGTGAAACAAGTGGAATACTGTCCCGCATTTGTTTTGCAGCAGGTGTTCGAGGCAGCAGGCGCCCCGGGAGCTGGGGCTGCCTCACCCATCTCCCCTTCCTGGGGACCACACTGGGTACCTCGGCATCAGGCCACCGTTGCCTTGAGCTGTGTCTTTGAGCGTCTGTGCTGTGCAGCAATTTAGTCTGTGAACTAGTTAGTGAGAAGTGTCCCAAGGTAACAGAAAAGCCTACAGGAGGTTAGTTTTGGGGTCTGGGAACACTCAACATTTTTCCATATAAACTAATGCCAACTACTTCTTCGCCTTACACCGTTCTGGTTTATGAGAGCTTCCGCAGGAATGAATGCTCCACTATCAGGGGAAACCTGCAGTGATGTGTGTCAATTATTTCTCAATAAAACTGGAGAAAAAGATAATCTGCTGACATAAAACTGAGAGTTCTACCCGAGTAAGTAGATAAATTCAATACAATGCCCTATGAAGTGTCCACTGGGTCATCATGGAACTCAGTGGTCTAGTTGTGGGTTCGTATGACAGAACAAGCAACGAGAGTAAGGACACTGGGAAGAGTGAAGGCCACCTCACCACGTAACACATGATGGAATGACAGACTGTCCTGCACTGTGGCCCTGACAGAGAACAGCCAGACGGGCAGTGAAAAAGAACCGAGTTTGGAAAATACGCTAACATCTGTGTGGAGCCTTGGCGGAAGGCAGAGGCGGCAGAGCGACTCAGTGGTGAAAGGAGAAAACACAGTAAAGAAGGAAACCAGAAAAACTGGTCGATGCCAGGAGTGAAAAAACTACCCCTCTCCCCACACTATACTCAAACTCTATTTCAAACTGAAAACAGTGAAATGTCAAATGCCAAGTTAAGAAAATTTTAGAATAAATAGTATCTTTTTGATATTGGGGGTAAAGCAAGACTTTTACGTAATACACAAAATCAGTAATCATATAAGAAATGTTGCAAACTAGATTACACTAAGAACATCTATTAACAAAAGACACTTTTAAGAGTGGAAAAATTAAAAAGCAGAAAATTATATCTTCAACATCTGTAACTGATAAAACATGCATGATGTACAGAGTCCCTACAAATCAAAAGGCGAGCAGGTTAACAGAAAAACAGGCATTTATCATGAAAGGACACTTAAAAGAAGAAAATACAGATTGGCCCACATCATAAGGTGCTAAAGCTCCTTAGCAATGAAGGAAAAACAAATCAAGACCGTACAAGGTAGGACCTCATGTTCCTTTGATCGTCAAAAACTGAGGAGCCCTACAGAACGAGCACCGGGCGAGGCGCAGGCAGGAGGCGCCTCCGTTCTCTCCTGGTGGGGGTGTCAGCCTGTAGGGCCCCTGTAGGGCCCCTTCAGAGCACAATGCGAATAGTCTTGTAAGATTTAAAACTTTCCAAAGCCTCTAATTCAACAATTTCACTCCTGAGAAACATCAAAACACGCCCGCAATTCCGTGCAAGACGACCAGTATGTAAGGGCTCTTGGCAGCACTGCTTGTGAGAGTGACAAGATGTGGACAATTAAATGTCGCAGGGAGTGGACGAATACAGCGTGACACAGAGTGTTTTTTATGGCTCTTCTTCAACTGTGAGGAACACGAGCCTATTTTTATGTTGAGTAGAGAAACAAGAAGAACGTAAGTGAAGGAAACCTTTCCCTGAGAAGGTGTGACCTAGACTCCGGGTCAGGAACTGGCCAAGGCCAGTGGAAGACCTTTGCCACAAGGGAAAAGGAGCGGCTGCAGACGTGTCTCAGGAGTGCAGACGGGTGGGGAGCGGGCAATGGGGGGGCGGGCTTGCCACCCCCGAGCGGACACATCAGTGGCCACGTGCTGACACCCAGGGCCGGGGAGCTGCTACGTGCTGGGAGGGGTGGACGCAGGTGGAGGTGGGGGGGTTCTCTGACGCTGTACCCGGGCTCTCAACTGCCCAGATGGCAGGACGACTGGCTGGAACTTGGGAGGCGGGAAGGGTTCCTTGCCAGGCACTGCTGCCTCTGGGTCAAAGGGCTGTGTGGCTTGAAACCACTAGAGGCCAGAACAAGCAGCTCCCGAGGGAACCAGGAGCAGCGGTCTCCCGGCCTCAGGCCTGCAGGCCCTCCTCCCGCCCGCCTCTAGGCTCCTACCTGCACAGGCGCTCTGCGGGAGGCCTTTCGTCACTGGCCACAGCTGCTGCCCGTGCTCCAGCTGGTACATCAGCTCAGGTCTGGGAACAGGACAGCCTACTCATGGAGAAAAAAGAATGATTTCTGTGAAAAGAAAATCTAGTCTGGGACTTGAGGGGGTGGACAAGAACTTGGAATGACATGGCTCCTGCCCACCCACACAGAACGCTGACCTGTGACCTGGAAGCCAAGGGTATACGCACCAAAGACTTTAGTGCAGTGCTTGTTGTGCAGACAGCACCTGCTCCCTCTGACCTCCACGCCCCGAGCCCAGACTCTGTTCAGCTGCAGCCAAGAGACTCAGCGAATACGACCCTCTTCTTCCAGAAGGTGTTTCCTAATTACTAGTTCTAGACTATTTACTGATCAAAAAACAAGCCCCCAGATACGCAGGGAGAATAAAAGGTATCTAAATAATATGCAATATATAATTGAGTTATAAAATACTGCCTATAGACCCAACTGTACATCCGAAATTTGTATACTAAAAACTTACATCATTTACATTAAAAAATTATATACAATAGTTACATACAGCAAAACAGAATGTATATATTTAGAAGTTACATTACCAAATTAGGGCCCTGGTTGGCTTTTTTGACTACAACACAGTTTCTAAATTAACCTTAAAATTTACTAAAATGCACCAACTGACAAAACTTCATGAACTTATTAATACTGGGGCTCAAATCACAGCTCTACATGGGGGAATCTCACTAAATTCAAATTTTTTACTCTCCAATTATAAAAAGTAACTAAATATAAAAGGAAAAATAGGTATACTTCCCTTAGGCTGTAACCTTGCCTAAATTTCCCAGTTACAATACTGTCCTAAAATATCCTGTATTGAGCACAGATGCTATGACATGACACACAGTTAAAACTGTTGGCACTTAGTAACCACATTGTTTTTTCATGTGAAACCTTCATAAGAGTGTATATCAACCATACCTTAATAAAAAACAAAACAAAACAAAAAAACTGTTGACACTTACAAATTGGCTTGATAAAATGGGACCCCACAGACTCCAGTTAAAACAGCCCACTGTGAGTGGGAAAGGAGCCTTGGGGGAAGTAAATGTATGACATAAAACCCAAATAATAAAAGGGCGTCATCCCCACGCTTCCCCATCTGGCAGCCCAATCACGCCTGTTCTCGCACCTGCAAAGATAAAGGACACCTTCCCGCAGGCTGCAACAGTCTTGGCCACCTCGTCCCCAGCGCGTCTGAACTGTGCCCCCGCAGACTTTATAGGTCAAGCCCTAGCCCCCAGTGTGATCATCTTTGAGGAGGTGATTAAGGTTGAATGAGGTTACGGGGTAGGGCCCTGGTCTGGTAGGACTGGTGTCCTGAGAAGAGAAGAGGACCTCTCTGTGCCAGGGGAGCGGCCAAGGGAGGGCACAGCAAGAAGGTGGCCAGGAAGACACCTGTCAGAAACCGCTGGTGCCCGCACCTGGGACCTCTGGCCTCCGGGCGTGCGGGCTGAACCTGCTAATGAAGCCCCGCGGCAGCGGCAGCCTGAGCTGACTAACACGACCTAGAATTACTGACATCATACCCAGCCGACAACCCAGTAATTGTTTAGTGCACGTAGATTAGGCTAACGTGTTCTGCTCATGCCTATTTCAACCACCTCTCAGCCAGGCTGTCCTCCCGCTGAAGGGAGGTGGCGCTGCTCCCAGGCTCCCTGGGGTAGGTGACAGCTCTGCCATCAAACAGTCTGCAGACGGGACCTCACCGCACCCGCCTTTCTTTAGGAAGCACAGGTACAACATTACCCTGGCGACAACCTTGTCCAAGGAGACTCACTTGACACACTTACGGATATGTACAGCCATCATCCTGTAGTCCTTTTGGGGACAGTTTTGGATAATATTGTTTAGTATTATTTTGGGTCTGGAGGCAAGATACCACTCGTTAATAAACTATTTTATTTCACTGATGCTGAAGCTCACCACTCAGCTCCCCTTAAGTGGGGCTCCCTCCAACAAGGGCTCTAAAATATGGGCAAATACTGTTCACAGTCACTCCCTTGGGGCCCTCAGGGACGCCTTCACTACAGCGGCTTCAAGAACCTCTTCTTGTGCCTCCCAGCATCTCTGAGCCATCTGAGGGCTGTAGGGTGCCCGGTGGCTTCTGATTGGAACCAGTGTTCCCCCACCCAGCCTCTGGCTATACACTATTAGAACAACGACTAAACTATATATTGTGTTCTCCCGGAAACAGAGTCTCCCAAGCCCTGAGCCTGTGACCTCCCACACCCAGCGGCTCAAGGATGCTTTGGGTCTGAGCTCAGCAGAGCCACGGAGGCCTCAAGACAGGATGAAACCCACCCTGTGCCTTCTGGCATATTCCACTTGTAGGTGGTGGTGGCCTCTCCTGTCCTTGGCCCTTGCCAGATGCCCTGGTGCTGGAGGGGGTCACCCTCGCCAGGCCCCTGGGCTTCTTGGGGAGCCCGTGGGATTAACTGAGTGGGCAGCTGTGGGACCTCCATGAACTGTAAGACACACACTGCTGTGCACCATACGGGAAGGGGCTCAGCCGGACACTGCTTCTACCCCTATCCCAGAACGTCCTAATACAAATGGACCAGGAGACAATACTCGGCCAAACTTCAGGGGGTCGCAGTACCACCAAATGTCCATCTTCATTCATTATAAAGTGCTGGGCTGCTGCCTAAAAACCATCTCCTTCAGGGTAAGGAACGGAGGCTCTCGCCTCCCAGATACCCCCAAATAAGCCAACATCGCAGACGTCTACACACACGAAGGCCACACACAGGCCTTGCCAGGCCACTCCTCAGTCCCTTTGGAGGCACAGACAATACTGATTATAACCTAGACACAAATTCTGCTTTTCCAGTTACCCAATGCTGGGCTCTGGAAGCAGACATTCAAAATACCATTTACCATTAAGGCCTGAATGGGCCCCAAAGAGCTGATTTAACTAAAAGACATAATGGTCTCTTCAAACAAGGCTCTCCTCAAACATTTTCAAATTCCAGTCTGACAGACAAACTCTCGGCAAGTCTTTGTCCTGCCTCCCTGCCCCCCCCGCCCTGATTCAGGGCCCCCTGGAACTACTTAGATCTCATGCCAACTTTACAAACGGGTCCCACTGCCCTTTCCTATACTTAAAGGAAATGTATACGAAGCCTCACCTCCAAATATACAAAGGTCTATTCTACACAAGGCCACTTAAAATGTCACGCCAACTCCAGTGGGTACCCACATGCAAAGGATACCCCAGTCCCACATTCCAGACCAAGACCTCAACGATGCCAACTTGGTCTGGGACGCTGAGACCTTCACCCCATCAGATGCCGGGAGACTGCCTCTCCTCAGACAGAAACCAGCTACGGGACCTCTTTGCTTTCTCCTATCAGGAATCCTGCTTTGCTCCCGAGCTTGCTGCCCACGCAGCTCATGATCCTGGAATACCCCTTCCCTTCTGCCCGGGCAATCTGGGAGAAGCTGCCTTTTCATCTCTCACATTAAATTAAATCTCTAGTCAATCTCTTGAATCTCGAGAGGGGCACCCACTCCCCAAGCCTTCTCCTACCTCATGCCCCAGCTCTCCACCAGGACCTCCCGTCCGGCTTCTCAGACAGTGACCGCTCATTCTCTTGATGACACGCTGTGGTACACAGTAAGAAATATGTATCTGGTCTTTGTCCCCATTCCTGGCACAGAGCCCTAAAATCCTTGTCAATTCCTAAGCAATAAAAACATCCTTTGTTATAATACTTGGTTTTTGTCCCCAATTTCTGAAATATCTCATAGCAGATAAAGGTGAAAGGAGCATCTTTCATTATTTATAAAAAGCCTCTTTCTACCGCACCTGTGTTTACGTCAGTAAGGTGACTTTTGGACTGATCCTAAGGAGAAAGGGCTGGTTGCCGGGAGGACCAGCCACGTGATCAGAGGCTGGGAACTTCAGCCCCATCCATGACCCGTGGAGGGGAGGGGCTGGAGATTGAGTTCAATCACCAATGGCCAATAATTTCAACAATCACTTCCATAAAAAACATTAACTAGAGTGGTTGGGCATCTCCAGGCTAGTGGCCACCCTGAGGTGCTAGGAGGGCGGCAGCCCGCAGAGGGAGCAGCAGCCCCGCAGCCCGTCCTGCGTACCTTGCCCTCTGCATTTTCCATCAGGCGGTTCCTGAGCTTCATCTTTATAATGAATATGTAATGGTTAGTGAGGTGCTTCCCTGAGTTCTGTGAGCCGTCCTAGCAAGTATTATACCTAAGGAAGGGATTGTGGGAGCCCGATTTACAGCTGGCTGGTCAGGACAGGTGACAACCTGGACTCCTGACTGCATCTGAAGCGGGTAGGCGGGAGGGACGGTCTTGAGGGACCCAGCCCTTGACCTGGGGGGTCTGCACTAACTCCAGGTAGTCACTGTCAGAACTGCTTGGTGTGGAAAACCCACACATTTGAAAACAGAAGTGTTCACTAGAGAAAAGAAGTTTTCAACTCCACTAAAATATTGTCAGATGCCCCCCTCAACTTTAGAGGCTCCTCCTGGCTAAGGCTGGATAAACGGGCAACTTCCATCAGGGGCCGGCCTGCAAGGGTTGCTTTTATCTCCACTTGGGTCCCTTGCTCTCATAACAAAATGCTTTTCCATACTCTTTAGGGCAACTTGTGCCATCTTTCTAAAAATCTCCGTGGGCATTACCCCAAAGTTGCCTTAACATGATATCAAAATATCAGAGGACCCACTACTGAATCACTAAAGAACGTCGCTTTTTTTTTTTGTTTTTTTTTTTTACAACCTGACACCTTCAGGGCCTTGGAGCTAGCTAGTCCCCACAACCTGCCTCAGGGCACACCTTTCACAGCGGTCTCAACAGCCACAGCCACACCCACCTCACTTCACTCCGCCCACCGGCATTCCCTGCCCCACATCGGCCCGGATCCAGGTTCCAAAGCACTGCGGGACCCTCAGCTGCGCCCCAAAGTCCGCTGAAACACTCAAGCCAGCCCAGTCTGAACGCCGACCCTGCGCCCTGCCTTCGTGCAGACGGCACGGCAAAGACTCTGCGCCCCCCTCCCACTCCTCCCGACCGAGCTGCTGCCTCCCCTTGGGGCCCTGGGAGGCCTGACTGTCCCCTTCTGAGATCTGTAACGTATTTTTTTTTCAATGGCATTAGCCTCTCTCTCTGTGCCATCCCTCAGAAGTCACCCCTACAAACTGGAATCCCACAGGCACAGATCAGTGGGCTGGGGGTGCCACCTGGGCATGAACAGTGCCCGACGGTCCCAAACAGCACAGTGCTCAGCGCATCCATGCTGCAGTGGCTGACTACCACTTAAAAGGGATTAATCTAGGTTTTCTTCAAAATAGGAGTCATGCATCATCACTCTGGTAAGTGGGAAACCCAATCACTTCCCTTATCGGCAGGTCGCCATGCAATGAAATCAAAACGCTGTTCAAAGTCAAAGAGCTCATGCTGCTCTCTCAGGCCCTGAGCACAGGCTCCTCCTTCTGCTGAACAGGGGAAAGTAGCGACAGTTGAGAGGAGTGGAGGAAAGAAGGGGTGTTAAATAGTCAGCATTAAATCCAGTCCTCCCATCAAAAAAAATAAGGATGCAGGAAAATAAAATACTGGAATGGGCATGTCTGGCTGTCTCCCGGTGCAGCTGCTGACGTCTCCTGGCGCACTCTGCAACACGGTTTCTCAACCTGGCATGACTATGTAGGTCAAGGCAAGTCTCTACTGGAGGGTGGGGAGGACCTGCCTGTGTCCACGAGGATGTGCAGTGGCCTTCCAGGTCCCCAACCCCCAGGTGACAACAGCACCCACACCCCAGTTTAACAACAAAGGCCTCCTGAGGTCACTGAGTTTCTCCCATGGAGCAGGATCATCCCTGGTGGAGAACGACTGGTTTAGAAGGTTACAAATAGGGAAAGAGGAAGAGGGGGATTGGGGAGACCTCCCACGGCAGGCGGGCCAAGTCAACAGCTGGTGAGGACGCGGGAACTGTGCGGGAGGGGCGGCTGCGGGAGAGGCTGAGTGACCAAGCTCCTGGCTTCACCAGGGGGAGGGCACAGCAGGGGAAAGAGCCCTAGGCCCTGGCGGCTGGTGAGGGAACGGGGAGCTGGGGACAGAGGTGACGGTGAGCGCTGAGGGCTGCACGGCCGGACGGCAGACCTCCAGACAGTTTGTCATGAAATCCCCGAGTGTACCTGACCTTTCCCAGCTCTGTGCCATCTCCTCTCGTTGCCAGAGAACATGGCTGCTGGTCTCCAGGGACAGGCACGTCTCGCCCTGAGCCCCGGACCCCCAGCCCTGCTCTCCCTCAGGCTCAGTGGTCTGTCGCGACCACCCTCAAGCGGAGAAACGGGGCAGCGGCTGCTTCTCAGCCTGGGCACTCCTGGCACGGTGGGCTGGATGAGTTCTTTGTCGAGGGGCCATCCTGTCCAGCCAGGGTGCTTGGCACCATCTCTGGGCTCTAACCTAGATGCCAGTGCCACCCATGCCCACGTGTGACAACCGAAGTGGCTACACACACTGCCAAGTGTCTCCTTGGGCACATCTGTGGAGGGGCACTACTCTAATTTCCCTCTCCCGTCCTGGCAGAGGATCTCGGCCCCAGAAACAAGTGGCGACCACCAAGGCCCAGAGCCGAGATCGTGCAGAACAATACCCGCTGGCAGTGCGGGCAAAGGCCTCCCGGGGGCCTGACTCACCCCCTTCCTGGACCCCGTCCCCAAGCGCGGCCCTGCCACCTGGGCTGTGGGGACACTGAGCCCACAGGCCCGCTCAGTCAGCTGTCTTCCCAGGACACGAGGGGAGAACCTCAGACAGAGGCCAGTCTGTGCTGGACAGTGGGGTAAGGTCCAGGCAGGTATGGGCCACGGGGGCCTCAAAAATGCCCCACAGAGCCCAGCAGCAGCGTAAGAAGAACCAAGCGCAGACAAGCAATCTGGGGACACACGCAGCAAGGACGGGGCGGCCAGTCCTGTCACAAACCTGCCCTTCTGAAGAGTGACACGACCTAAGCCAGCCAGCACCCAGCACGGGACAGAGGCCCACAAGCCAGCGCAGAGTCCTGGTGGGCCCGGGGCCCCTCCCAGCCCCTCCCAGGGGGACCGGAAATCTGCCCTTGGATTCTGCAGGGCAGCCCGTTTCCCCGCCACTTTCCAGGAGCCGAAGGGGGACCATGTGTGTTGCCCAAAAAGACAGGGCAGCAGGAGGTGGGTCTGCAGAGTGGCTGACGGGTGGGCGGGAGGGAGGGAGGGAGGGAGGGAGGGCTGGCGCTGAGGCTCCCTGCGCAGCCGGATGGAGCCACAGGTTGCAGGCAAGGAAGCGCTGGGTGGGGAGGCCTTACCCAGGGACACCAGGAGCCCACAGTTTTCCAGCATCACCTCCTGGTAGAGGGTCCTCTGGGCTGGGTCCAGCTGCCCCCACTCCTCCCGGGTAAAGGTCACGGCCACATCATCGAAGGTCACGGACACCTGGAAAGTCAAACAGAGGTAGCAGCGTTGGCCTTGGGGCTGCTGGGTGGGATCAGCACCTGACTGCATTGCTGGTGAAGGTACAGCGTGATCAAGGGCCGAATCACCAAGCGCCTCCCAGGGCTGAGCTCCGTGCTGGGCTCTCGGGGGAGATGGATGATGCTCTGGGCAAAACGCAAAGGTAGAGAGTCACACACAAGACAGTGGAAATGTACGTGCAGTGTGAGGTGCAGTGAGGGCTCTAGGATGCCCAAGGAATAAGTAAATAATGGTGTGACTGTATCGGTAATGGTAACAACGGCAGCACCTGAACCTCAACGGTCCTGCTAGCTGCCTGCCCCACGCTGAGGGCCTCACATCCTGACTAAAGGCCCCAGCTTAAGTCAGTCTCTTGTGGTTTGCATCCAAACGCTTGTAACCCGACACTTGGGAGCTGTGTTACCTTGGAGACAGCACTTTGTTTCTCTGAGACCCAGTTTCTGGATCAATAATAGTTCCCACTTCACCAGTAACAGTTGCAAGATTTAGACAAATCATTCAATGCTCAGCGTGCTTTGGGATTTTCATTAGGAGGCATGATTTTAGCGCGGGCTGATCTAGCACAGGGTCTAAGGAGTAATCGGGCATGCCTCCACTGTCACAGCGAATTCACAGTACACGGTTGTGAACCACTTCCACCAATTTCGGCTGTTAAATCCACTTTGGAAAATATTTCTATGAACAGGGACAGAGCATCCGAGCCCTCATCACTGACCTCTCGGGAAAGGCCCCTGGAGGGCTGGCACATACTTGGGTAACAGTGGGCCGGGACCAGCTCCCTACGTGCCGCTGGGATCCCCTGGGTCTCCCAGGCTCCCAAGGAGACTCCACGACGAGCCGTTGGTCTCGTTTTCCTTCCTGAGCCCTGACAGCACTTATCCGTGGAGCCAGGTTTCTTCAGATTAGGGAACGCAAATGGCCAAGGAAGACACGGGCCTCGGCCATGAGAGCACGAGCCTTCGGCCACGGCCGCCGTCCTGACCGAGGGCGGCTGAAATACCCCTACAAGAGACCGCAGGGCCTGGCCTCCCCAGACACCCTTCTCGGCGGCTGGGAGGCGCTGGGACCACCCCACCCGCCACCCGGGCCTCTTTCAACGACCAACACACCTTGCCTCTGTCGCGCACTTCTCGCCCGGAAGCCCTGTCCCCCGCCAAGCGCCCAAGATCGCGTGTTGGAAGACGACGGAGGTGGGCTGAGGACCCTTGCAGAACACGATGGGCTGGGGGGTTACTCTGGGTATGACGGCAGCCCCTGGGGGAGGCATCACCCACTCTTTCAACATCTTATCCGGCAAGTCAGAAACCACACGCGTTTTGGAAATGCGGATGATTTAGGAAGCAAACCAGCGCCACATGCCCAAAAGCACACCTGCGGAGATGAACGCGGTGGTTGTCTGGGCTCCCCGACCCTTCGGGAACCGCCTCCGCCCTTGCAGGGCAGCAGCAGCTCCTGAATCCCCGTCCACTCACCTGTGTCCGCCGCGCCGGCGACGCCGCCATCACAGGACCCTGAGGGCCGAGCGAGCTGGGACAGGCGAGTACGGGGCGGCCTGCCGGGCGGCCTCGACGGCCCGCCGCACTCCGAGCCGCAGCGGAAGGCGCACGGGACCCAGGGCGCCGCCCTTGGCTGCGGCGGGGACGCAGGGCGGGCGCGGAAGCCCCGCAGAGGCCGCGCGGCGCGACGGGCGAACAGGGGACGCGCCCGGTACAGGGAGTCCCGGGCCGTGTGACGCACGAAGGTGATTATTCCCCTTCTCGGCTCCGCGCCGACGAAAGGCCGGAGAAGCGGCGCGGGCCCAGTACTCGGCGACTCCGGGCCGGCGGGACCGGGCCGGAGAGGCAAATGGCGTCCGCGGGGAGCAACCCGGAAGTCCCGCCCCCGTGGGGAGCCGCCGGAAACGCCCCCGCCGCGGGCCGTCCGACACGAGGTGCACGGCTTTCTGGGTAACGTAGTTTCTCCTTTCCTCGCAAAGACGCGAAGAACCCCTGAACCGAGAAGTCTTCCTCCGATTTAAGGTGCCCTTCCCGGACCCAGACCTGACTTTTTACAGTGAATCGACTTCAGGGGAGCCAAGGGGAAGACGTGGGAGCGTCCATCCTATGCCGGAGGGAAACTGAGGCTCGGGAGGCAGGGCCATCAGCCCTGGATGGGGCAAACTGCAGGTTCGCGGAACCAGATCCTCGGCTTCCCGGGTGACTTTCCCCTTCCAGGATGATCTGGGAGAGCAAACAGGAGTGGCTGAAAGTCTTCCCCAGGAGGACGCCTGAAGTCCCACCTCAACCCCTTGCGCACTAACCAACCGCACTGTACTGGGCCTTCTGTGGCCTTGAACCCCTTCCGCGAGGTGGGAACCTCTTGAGGCACGTGGTTGGCCGGCCGATCACCGGAGGAAAGGATTTGCGGTCCCCTGCTCCGGGGAGGCCGCTGGCGGAGGAGGCTTGGAGGGAAACCCAGGACTCCAGGTTCAAGTGTGGGTTGGTCTGCGAGACCACGAAGGGCGTGTCATGTACACCCTATGACCAAGCATTGGGGAGAGGGTTCAGTGTCCGGTTGTATAAATTTGGGAGTTGTTAGCTTACATTTACTGCAAGCCCTGATGCTAGGTGAGCGCTTCAAGAGAATGGGTGTAGATTGGAAGAGAATGGACGGAGCATGAACTGTGGAACAACCTGACTTCATTTGGTGGATAATGACAAAAAAACAACAAACTCTCTTTAGGGATTCTAATGTCCACCCAGAGGTATATTAAGCAATCTTAGAAATCACCATTGACGGTATTTTTTTTCCCCTCTAACTTTGGAGCTGAGAGAATACAAGGCATCTTTCGTGATTTAAGGATGCATACAGACTTGAGAAATGGAATCAGAAATACAGAAATGTCTTTAAGAGATTTAATTTTTTTAAGATGAGAGAGAAGCATAGTGACAGGATGTTAATTAGGTCAAGGAATGAAGAGTTCGTAAGTTCTGCAGAGAAATAGTAGGATATATATATTTTATAAGTATGTATATACATCTTCGGTAACTGTGTATATGTGTATTGTGTATATATATGTATAGGTAATATATGAGGTTTTATTTCAAGGAATTAGTTTATGCTAATGGGGGGCCAGACAAATCCTAAATCCATAGGGTAGAGGGCAGACTAGCCGACTGGAAACTACAACCAGAGCTAATACTGCAGTTTTGAAGCCAAATTTCTTCCTCAGGGAACCCTTACTTTTCCTCTTAAAGCCTTTCAACTGATTGGATAAGGCCCACCCATATTACCAAAATAAAACACTTTGCTTAAAGTCAACTGATTATAGGTGTTATGCAAATCTATAAAATACCTTCACAGCAACACCCAGGTTAATGTTTGAACCAATAAATGGGTAACATAGCCTACCCACTGTTTACACATAAAACTAGCCATTATATCCTACTCTCTTGTCAACCATCTCTTTAAACCATACTTAATCTCCAGATGGTAAAAAAGACATACTTCTTAACCAGATCATATCTGGTATTGATCCATTGTTATGAACAAGTGACATATGATCTATATGTAAGATTGATTACATATGAATGTAATAGGATACATATGGATTTATTAAATTCTCTGTGACTGAAAATTGTCCTCTGTGTAAGATACTGTCTTTGTCCTCAGAAAAATACAAATATTTAGGATATGTATATATCACTGATTAACTTCTGGTATATACTTTACCTGTTTATTAAAACTATTATTTATTTTTTGTCTTCCCCTCCAGATGTTTCATGAGGGCAAAGGCCTTTGCTGTGCTACTGCTGTATCCCAAAATTTCAAAAAATTGTCCAGCACAAAGCAGACACACTAGAAAGATTACAGTAATATATAATGGAGTCCTGGCTCACAATCTTGATAAATTGTTTTTTTTAAAGCAATACAATAGATTTAAATAAAAACATTTTTTGAATAGAGAACAAATGGTACAAAACTAAAATAGTGTGAAAAGATAAGCATTGGGAAGCTTTATTCCTACTGCCTTACAAGTAAGCAACCGAGTGGCTTTTCTTTAAGCAAAGACAAATGTACACTAGAACTTTCCTGTTTTATTACCCAATAGGTAGCATAACATGTTCACAGTCTTGGACTTCAGGTGTTTCACATAATACCATATCCCAGAGATAATTCCATACCAGTACCTGGTGTCCACATTTTCTTAAAAGCTCTTTCAGGCCCTTTAAACTCTGAAAAACAAGTCTGTAAGATAAATAGAAATAGTCTGTGTCCTTGCAACTACAAGGAAAGCGGGTGTGGTTAGTTATCAAACTCTGAAGAAGCAAATGCTTATAAAGGAGTTATGTACACTATGAACTGGAAAAATAATCCCTAACCTCTGAAAGGTCTATTGTTTTTACTGATTTTTTTTTACTTAGCATGCATGGTTATTGTTTTTCTTTTCTCAGTGGTATAAAGCCCTAATAAATGCCTTTGTTAGGGACACAGTGGATCTCTGGCAACTTGCTGCACGGATGGACAGTGACTGCACTGGGGTATGGGTGGGGACTTGATAATATGGGTAAATGTAGTAACCACATTGTTTTTTCATGTGAAACCTTCATAAGAGTGTATATCAATCATACCTTAATAAAAAAAATAATAAGCAAA